TCAGGAATATGGCAGTTGTTATCAGATAGTCAGTTTCTATGTATGTTGGCGTTTGTTTTTGTTGTTCCGTTGTTTTCCTCTTATAATTGATGTGTTTCCCTCGGTTTTTGTTTGCAACCCGGATTTGATTTCTCTTAATCGAACAGCGGTATACAACTGTTGCCTTTATTCAAACATAACGGATATGAATATTTCCGTCGAAAGAAATTCAGTTTATAATTTATTGTAAAACAAACCTGTCGTGTTGAAATTTATTTTCCAGTGGGTACTTTTCGAAATAGGGAATCAAACACAGTTTGTGTAACAAAATTCATTAAGTATACCTTGTTTCTTCACTCATCTACGAACTAAGCTTTAGGTGAATACAAATACTTCAAAGCACTTACAATTAATTCTGTTATAACATTATGATAATCATCAGTATACACCAGTATGTAATGACATATAGTAAATATGCAATTGACGCTCAAAGTTATATGTAGGGTTAAATAGTTTGGATTTTGAGGGGCAAGGGTTATTATTTTTTTGAAAAGGGGGGGGGGGGGGGGATGAATGAATTATGTATCAATCTTAACTTGTTTATAAAATTACGATTCCCAAAGAATGTATTAACAATATTGTTAAGCATTCACAAGACCGTCTAAAAAAATCTAATTACTTCAGATGACAGAAAAAGTGACAATAAAGGAGGGAGATGAATCATTTCATGGGTTCATTGGTGAAAAACATGTGCTGTTACAGCTTTAAACAACACCTATAAACTGAACAGCTTTGATTTATATGCTGTTTTGGTGGGGAAGGTTAAAAACAAAAAGGCCTCCTAACTTCTGAAATGTCAACCTTTATACAAATAGTTAAAGTCGCCGCTGAATTTACATCCCTCTGTCTCTCATTCTGGTGAGACAAAAATAACAATGTGAATAATGAGAATGAAATTGATAATCCAATTCGGCGGATGTCAGTTTTTTATGTTTCTTATAAAATATAAAGATGTCATACGATACAGTAATATAATATTAACAATTATAAAATTGACCAACATTAATTGATTGTAAAAAGTTAAATCACAAAAATACTGAACTCCGAGGAAAATTCAAAACGGAAAGTCCCTAATCAAATGGAAAAATCAAAAGCACAAACACATCAAACGAATGGACAACAACTGTCATATTCATGACTTGGTACAGACATTTTTTTATGTAGAAAATGGTGGATTGAACCTGGTTTTATAGCCTCTCACTTGTATGACAGTCGCATCAAATTCCATTATATTGACAACGATGCGTGAATCTTAATTACAACAAAAACAAACAAATATTTAACAAAGAAGCACACAAAAGCATATATCACATTTAACAACCTCGTCCATTGCTTACTTATTTTTATATTTTATTTATGTATGCCAAATCAACCCATAAATGATCGAGGGATTTTAAGCACTGGGACCGAATCGTAATTTTAACATTAACTCTGGCGTAGAATCGCGTGTTTGACGTCAGAATATAAACGTCACACAGGTAGATATATAAAATAATTTTGTCGTTCAAAGTATGCAAAAATTATAATAGAACAATAACACAATGGCGGGATGTTTAAAATACAGACACACGTCATATGTATCAAAGAAACATAAAAAGTCACACGGACAAAGCACACAAGTAAAAATGAAAATTAATACAAACAACACAATGACGGGATGAATAAGTACAGAGCCACGTCAAATGTATATCACCAAAAATAGACCAAACAGTAAAAGTAATATTAATAAAGACAAATAAAAGAACACTTTAACTCGTTATTAAGATGATAAACAGCGTCAGTACGCAGAATCTATACTCCAAGACCATCATGTATTATTTGTGAAGTTGATACAAATAATATTTATCAACAAAGTCTTGGTACCTTCCGATGAACTTTTTAGAAAAAGGACGAGACGTTCTTTGACATACCCCTGGTTCATCAACTTTCTGCTCAGACACTGGTGACGTTTTATAAAGTCTGAGTAGGAGCTGCAAGCTCTTGCATACCGAATAAGTTGGGAAATGTATATCCCATATGCAGGTGAAGTTGGTATATTGCTACTAAGGTGGGGGAAATTGATAATTTTAAAATTAAAATCGTCTCGTTTGTCATAGATTCTGGTATTCAGATGACTGTGTATGTCAAATTCGAGGTATAAGTCTAAAAAAGAGGCGGAGGAAGCCGTGTCTGTTGTTTCTTTAATTTCTAGTTCTGGGGGATATATTAATGGAACCCAATCAGAAAATTTGGGTTGTTAATGGAAAGAACATCATCAATATATCTGAAAGTGAAATTAAATAATCTGGCTTCTTTGATCTTCTTGTTTTTGACAAGTGTCTGAAGGAACTCCGATTCATATAAAAATAAGAAGAGGTCGGCAAGGAGAGGCGCACAGTTCGTTCCCATAGGAATGCCGACAATTTGATGAAAACGTCTGCCTCCAAATTCAATAAAAATGTTGTCGATAAGAAACTCCAGCATACTGATCACTTGCTCTCTGTGTAGCATGTTTTACCCTTTTGTTCGCTATTAACAAAATATGCCTTATGGTATCCTAAAGTAGTAAATTTATAGCGTATGCTACCATTTTTATGTTGAAACAAACGCATTGTGCATTATTTCTTTTAGGCGATTTTTCAATTTCAAATGGGGAATGGTGGTATACAGGGTTGAAAAATCAAAAGTTTTGATAGAACTAATTTCAGAAAAAGACCGAGATTTAAAATTATCCAGAAGCTCTTTAGAATTTTTACGATTCCACATACGATTACTACCACTACGCGAGTAAACAGTTTCACAGTATTTCTGAAGACCCTCTTTCACTGCGGACAGTATTTTAGTCAATCTAATGGACAATTCTTTGGTGGAACATGCAGATGAGCCGGCAATGTACCGTTGTTTGTACGGAATTTTGTGAAGCTTAGGTATCCAATACAAACAAGGTAAGTCCTCTGATTTGTTGTTCAATGTAATGTTCATTGAAGCCATGAAGGACTTATGATTCGCCAAAATCTCATCCTTGTCAAATGATATGTCTTTGTATGTGGGATTACCTGAGTGCTCATTTATTCCTAATTCTTTTACAAATAAAGGCAACAGTATTATACCGTTGTTCGAAACTCATAAATCGATAGAGATAAAAACAAATCCGGGTTACAAACTAAAACTGAGGGAAACGCATCAAATATAAGAGGAGAACAACGACACAACAAAAACACAACATTAAAATGTAACACACACAGAAACGAACTATAATATAACAATGGCCATTTTCCTGACAGGACATTTTAAGAAAAAAATGGTGGGTTGAACCTGGTTTTGTGGCATGCCAAACCTCCCACTTTTATGGCAACGTCAAACACAACACCAAAACGACAACATTACATGACAGGACCATAATACAAATAAATGGGAGAACATATAGGACAAAGAAACACACGAATAATAGCTAGCAGAAGGTACTAGGCTTAAAATTCAATACCCCAGACGTGCGTCTCGTCCACACAAGACCAACCAGTGACGATTCCATAAAAAAAGTTTGAAAGCCAAAACAAGTACAAAGCTGAAGAGCACCGAGGACCAAAACTTCCAAAAAGTTGCGCCTAACACGGCCAGGATTTTCTGCCTGGGACAAGAACATCCTTATTATTTAGAATAATTTACAAGACATTCGTAGTAATACGATTTACATTCAAAGACACTATTATTTGAAGCTTTGTCCAACAACATACTTATCATGAAGAGATGATAGACATTTCACAGCAAAATGTAAAACAGTTGTCAAAGTACCATAATCATTTCACAATGGAGATATAAAAGAACCCTTTATGTTTCCTTTATTTATAAAACGTTCATCATTTTATTATCTGGAGGGACTGGGACTAGTTTACTAATTCATACTTACTATAATAGTTCGAGGGAGGGATATTAAAGAGGATTAATGTGATGCTTTGCCCCGTATGCATATTAATTTTCAACGGCAATTCTGAATGCATATATATATTTATCTTATTTTTTCTTGCTTTATTATGTTCAACATATGAAAATGTTCTAAACGGTGTATGAGAAATTCGTATGTGCTTTGTCAATTTGCTATTTCAATTATAGAACTAAAAGTATTAATTTTACGTTTTATTAGATTTAGCAATGAGTCGCCTGATCGGGGTGATCTATATAATAATTCATATTATTATTATTATATTTTGATTATTATTAAATAGTTCATGGTGCTTTGTTTGTAAAAAAATATTTTGGAGAATTTCATATAAGTTATGATATTATATTATATATATAATTACAATAATAATAAAATAGAATTTACCAATGAGATGTCTGTGACGTCATATATATATACGATGCATATGCTCAGGTAAGGACAACTTTTTCTAAATATTTTTCATCAGATACGAGCGAGACAAAAATAAAAAGAAAACAGATAGATAAAAATGTCAGTAACATCAATACAAAAAAGGCGTCAATAGTACACAAAAATTCTTCTAATGTCGAATTTTCTTTAAGCATCCCTAATCAAGCCTAATGTATTTAATAAATTTACGTAATTGACAGACTGTAAAAATATTTTGATTCTTCCAGTGCTGAAACAGGGTGGATGGAAATTGCATTTGCACATGCCGATCATTTTGTCGCTAAAATGTTTGTTTTGTTTTTAAAAGGATTCTTTATATTTGTTAAAGTCATATGAAACGAGTTTCTTTTATCATTAAATTAAAATTAAACTTCAATTAATAATAGAGACATTTGATATTTTACTATACTGCCGAATAGTGTCAGATTGACGCTTAATCCTAACTAACGATTCATTTAATACATAAATTTTAGTGGTTGCGAAAGAAAATATGTGCACACTGAAAAAATAAAAAATGAAGAAAGACACCAGGTTAACATTAAAAAATAAAACTTTAATAAAACTGTGTCCAACATATGATGTTTGTGAATTATTTAATATCAACTTTACTTACCATTTTGTTGAACTATTTCTATTCCGGATTGAAAATGATTTGTTTTACGAAAGAGTCTAATTTATATCGATTTCGAAAATCAATATTTAAATATATGCGTTTCTGAAAAACCAGTTGCAATCCATTATTAGATTATTTTTATATGTGTATTTAATTCGTCAAATCATTTAAAGGAGACATCGAGTCCCCAAAAAAATAACACATATCAGGTATATTTTATAGTTGCCATGGAAGGACATTATTTGTTTTGACTTCTTTTATTCATAACTGCTTAAGTTTTATTTTTCGTTTTTAAAGAGAACTTGCTGTCGTTTGTTTTTTTTAAAGTAGTCGAGCACTTACGGTTGATCATATTACTTAATCTGATTAAAATCAATAATAATAAAATTGTCAACAATTATTTTTTCATTTCTAAATTTGTAGTATCGGAAATAAATTCTTTGCTATTCAACGCAAACATGAAAAACACGGAAACTATCCCGGGTTAAGGGAGGGTTTGGCGCCCGCAAATATGTTTAACAACGCCACATTATGTATGTGTCTGTTATTCAGTGATTGTCGTTTGTTGCTGTATATCATATTTGTTTTTCGTTTATTGTTTTGCACATAAGTACATTTGTTAGTTTTCTCGTTTGCATTGTTTTACATTTGTCATTTCGGAGCCTTTTACAGCTTGCTATGTAGTATGGGTTTTGCTCATTGTTGAAGTGCGGTGTCCTATAGTTTCTTACTTCTACGTTATTTTGTCTCTGGTGGAGAGTTGTCACATTGGCAATCATACCACATCTTATTTTTATAAAGACGTGGTTTTCTTTTGCATTTACTGCAGTTATTATTTTTCAGTATATGAACTTTATTTAAAAAAATAATCAATAAATTTCAAAATATAAAATGGTATCAAATATATTGGTTAACGAAATTTTTTTTAAAAAATGAACAAAATGTAATCGTGCAAAAATGTCGTATATTTGACATCCAAAGCAAAGTTTACTGTGTTGTGTTTTGGACTATTAAAACAAATAACATTTTAAATTTGGTAGTCCGGCGCGCTTTTCTGGATTTATCTTCATTAGAAACGATCAAACCCAAATACTGAAAGCCAAGGACGTATACGTGACGAACTGTATGACAGAAATGGACCTAGAAAAATTATGAACAATACTTTAAAAAATGCCCTCATCAGGAACGATAAAAACCAAACTTTTTGAAAGTCAAGGATGTTTAAGTACCGAAACACGTAAATATCAAAGAAAAAAAAAGCCAAATCCAACAGAGGCCAACTTTGCCATAGGCAGTTGTAACCTAAGTTTCTTTGGTCATTTATTTTCTATTTCATACCGAAACTTTTAAATAACGCCTGACACTTCTTCTTGCAAATTACTGACAGATAGGGGATTTGAGCATAAATCAAATCCGATTGAGTGGTTACATAGACACTTGTTGTCGATTCATATTATCAACTGTTAAGATTGATAGTTTACATTACTAAGCCGATTCAACTGCTAGTGTAAGGCATTAATGATATAATATAACAAAATATATAAATTTGTCGAAGTAAAGAAATATTCATATCACCCTAAGCCAAGGGAAATGAATGCTATACTTAATTCCTGAACATAAAAATAATAATTTACATCTAATCTTTCTTATCCGCTTTCTTAAATAACTAGTCACGACAAAAAAAATGATAAACAATACCGATTAACAGTTAATTATCTGTTCTCTGACACATTTTTTACTGTTCTGTTTTTACGTCTGTTTTATAATATAATATTAAATAATATATATATAATTTTATAATATAATATAATATAATATATATATAATTTTATAATATAATATAATATAATATATATATATAATTTTATAATATATAATAATATAATATAATATAATATAATATAATATAATATAATATAATATATAATATAAAATATAATATAATATAATAAATATTAAATATAATATAATATAATATAATATAATATAATATATAATAATATAATATAATATAATATAATATAATATAATATATAATATAAAATATAATATAATATAATATAATATAATATAATATAATATAATATAATATAATATAATATAATATAATATAATAATATAATATAATATAATATAATATAATATAATATAATATAATATAATATAATATAATATAATATAATATAATATAATATAATATAATATAATATAATATAATATAATATAATATAATATAATATAATATAATATAATATAATATAATATAATATAATATAATATAATATAATATAATATAATATAATATAATATAATATAATATAATATAATATAATATAATATAATATAATATAATATAATATAATATAATATAATATAATATAATATAATATAATATAATATCTCAATTTGCAGTATCAAGTATTTAATCTATATACATTTCAATTTAGATGCAAGATATTTTCTGTTCATTGATTATACAGTCATGAAATGCTAGTAAACATTGTAGAATAACAAAATTACACAAAATCTTGACTGCTAAGTTGAAATAAATGCTGTGCAATAGTATAGAGAACAACAGCCTTCGCTTCGTCCAAAAACACTTTCCCGATGGATGAAGTGCACTTGTTGTTAATTAGTTGCAAATTGCTTGAACGGCATTTGTACTTTTTGATTATCAACCCAAACAGTTCATGATAAGTCTTTTTCTTTAGAATTAGGCCCATCTACCTTATATAGTCGTTAAAATATGTTATTAACATGTTATGTTAACTCTTTTTCAAACGTTCAAAAGATATGAATTATAATGGAATTTTAAAAAAACTTTATTCTTGTAAATCCGAATATATCGAACGTTGTATACACCGAAGTCATCAAGAGGAAGACGTCAGACAAAAGGAACATCACAATCTTATGCCGAAGATGAACCGACAACCCTTAACTAAAGAAAAAGACAAAAAAAAACAAGAAAATAGTCCACAAAGCATTGCACAGAAAACTAAAGATTGAGCAAAATGAATCTCCTAAAGTAACCATCGGTCATTTTAGTCGCCTGTAAAAGTTAGTAATGTTTCTAATGGCACCCATCGTTCAAAGGAGAAGCGACAAATACAAAATGGACATCCTAACTTATAAGTCGAAAATATAATGACAACACCATGGCAAAAAAACGAAAAAGACCAAAAGACAAACAACAGTATACAAAACACAACATATATAACTAAAAACTGAGCAACACGAACCCCATCAAAAACCGCTGCTCCGGAAGGATGAGCAGATCATGCTGCACATGTGGCACCCGTCTGAGTAAACATTTGACATACAATGCATAAGATTTGAGGAAATAGAAATTTATTGATGCTTAAATCCCGCAAATCAAGTAGGAATTCACAAATCAAGATTGCAAAACAGAACCTGGGTGATAATGCATGAACACGAAATCAGAGCGAGACTGGGTGTGTTGATAGGGTAGGACTCTGTAGCTAAAAATGCATCACCCGCCATGCGAGCGAATTCACACTCAGTAAATAATCAAAATAGAAGAGAGGACGCAATCGGTAAATGTGCAGATCATAAAGACAACTTTTCTGGTATATAAAGATCTTTCACCGAAAACATGTCTCTTGTGAGTGGAGGATATTTTACTGTTGAGAAATGGGGGAAAATGAAAACAACACGCTATAAATTTCATGCACCCGAAGCGCTTTTCTGGATTTGCCTTCATCAGGACCATCAAAGCCGAATATTTGAAAGCCAAGGTAAGAACCGAAAAAGTTGAAGAGCTATATGACCAAAATGAAGCTAAAAAATAGCCAATTCCATCTAAGGTCAACTTTGCCTGAGGGAGTTGAAACCTTAGTTTCTTTATAATTTCAAAATTTATTAACGAACAATTTTAGAATGGTTTGTTTTAAATCGTGTCAGTACCAAAGTACTGACTACTGAGCTGATGATACCCTAGGAGACTGATAGTCCACCAGGTATCGACCCAATGCTGTAAAATTTAAACAACACATTATACATTTCATGCTGATAATTGGAAAGCTGCAATGGTCACGGTTGTCATAAATCTTTGTTTTAAGTCGACCATCTATGTAGATATCAAGAAAAAAAGCACAACTTCTAATTAACGGAATATCCTTTGTGTCATATTCACGGAATTATATGAGATGCAAGCATTATTCAAAATGTGGATTTTAAATTAAATCTGTTTAATTCAATGAGTGCAAATACATAACGGCAAGTAGGGGTGCACAATTAGTACTCATTGGAAAACGTACTGCTTGTTGAAATATTAATTCTCTAGATACAGTATAAAACTATGATGTCGATCGAAATACAACGTAGTCCAGTATTTTGTAGTTACCGTCTTCGGAGTGTTTGGTGTCAGAATCAGTAATATGTCCTTGACCTTAGACAAGAAACTTGTATCTACTCTAGTTTTAAGTGAAGTCAATTAAGACATTTTCATATCACTACAAAATGGTAATGGTTGTGGTTGTAGATTTTGGATTTCATCTTTAGTTTTATTTGATATCTGATTGACACTACTGACTGTTTATACTTCATCACAATATTTTTTTCTAAAGAAAGAATATTTGTAAGAATTTTAGAGAGATGTTTTTCATTGAACATCAAGACCAGCAGGCTGTATATCGTTCTTTTTAAGGGTTTGTGTGTAGTGTTTGCATACAGTTACAAGAAGTATAACAAAAATACCGAACTTCAATGCAAATTCAAAAAGAGGAAGTCCATAAAAACTGAAATCAAGCGCTATCAATCAACGGAACAAGAAAAAAATAACTGCCATATTCCTGACTTAAAGAAGGCATGGTTCGTCGTCCTTTTCAATATTGATACCAAAGGACTGAAGGACGGAATTTTAGAAACTATTGTGATTATAGTACTTCGAAGATTTGAAATGCACTCTTAATTGCATGAGCACACATCATTTGGTGAATAGAAATTGATACCGTTAATGTTATTTGATCCATTCATATAATTTTCCAGTTCAGGTTAATTTGACTCGTGTTTTGAAAATAACACTTTCTAAATTTGGAGCATACATAAAACTATTCAAAGTCAATGTTGCTTGTAAAAATAGGAAGTTATTTGACCTCTCGGAATAGTGAACTGAATTTTGATAATGATATAAAAAAATAAATATGGTGAAATCCCAAAGATTTTCGAACCGAGGATAACAGAACATCTAAAACGGTATAAAAGGCAGGTCATGGCCATGACTACCCTGTGGTGAATACATAGGTGTTAGATAATTTGTTGATATCACATCATCTGCGACTTGACAACATATATGCAACATATATTTTGTCGTTGCATCCGTAAGAAATAGCTGTTCCCATAAATCTCAAACCGAGAATTTTTATCTTCGTAAGCAGTATGATGTACTCAATATGGGGTCGTTTGTTTAATGCTATATTTTCTCTATAAGACTTGCATAGAATCAATGAAATGATATAAGGTGATACACAGCAATGAGAGAAAAAATGTGGTTACTACACATGGAACATGCCCATGGTCTTGTATGACAAGTTCATGATGGCGTTCTTCAAACTTTAGAAGATTTCTTTATAATCCATCCAATATAAAATGTAAATGAAAACAGTTTTTAAATTATTTAAACTTTAAAATGTAGAGTTTTAAGTGAAGATTAGTACGGTAAACTGTATGTGTAAACGTGACTATTCCCATGTCTATGAAAATCACGTCTGTAAATAAGTAAATGACAACCTATGATTATCTAATATAAAGACTAGATAAAACATTTGATATGAATATGGGCCTGCACTTTTGTTATTTATCTTAAACTTCGTTACTAGTAGTTTTCAAGGATATTTGTGAAATATAACGTCCTTGAAGTTAGCATACAATTTTAAAACACAAAAAAGCTGATTTTAATAATACATAGTAGTGATAAGAATTGAAAATAAATAGTTTCTATAAAAAATGTGCCAAACAAGGCTTACAATTAAGTACGCAAGACGCACGTTTCGTCTACATTAGACTAATAAGTGGTGCTCAATCAAGACAGATAGAAAGTAATATCAAATACGTAATAAAGAGGATAGTAAACAAAATATTCCAAAACAAAATGACTGAACTCATCAATATACCATATTAATAACTTAAAACACGTTTCGTCAACATAAGACTCATCAGTGGTACAGGAACCGAAATAGTTTCGAAGGTATAGGAAAACTATAGTTTATAAACCATTGTTCTTAGTCTGGGTAATGAATTCTATGTTACATTCTTGGCAACAGCAGTTTATCGATAATCAAATGTTATACACACGATACGATTTAACAGTGTTCTCCCCAGAAATTTTTTAAGGCGCAAAATTAAAGGGCATGTAACTCTTTTTTTAGAATGAACTATTGGGACATGACGCAATCAGTCATAAATCATGACATGCAATATGAATTATAAAGCTTTATGACATGTGTTTAATAATGCATAGTATTAATAAATTACAAGGATATATATATGAAATGAATTGATTTTAAACACATTTATATTACAGTCAATTAGAAGTCAAAATGTAAATATAGTTCATGAAAAGATCCTCCTGTTCTTCTGGGCCTTCCAGTACTGAACAACTTCAGAAATATTTATCTCTGTGCTCTCTGCTCCTTCTAGTGATATTGTTACTAGACAGTTTGTTATTTTATTTGACAGTCTGTTCCTCAACTCTGTCTTTATCCTCTTTAGGGTTGAAAACCCCCTTTCACAATCTAAAATATAAGGTAAATAAATAAATACCTGAATTTTTATATTTCAGCTTAAAACTTAAATAAATAATATGTTAAATGAAAAGATAAAGCATGTTCATGTTATGATGTAAAAGATTTTATTTTGGATAAGTATTTACCTGCAGTTGATGTAGGTAATAATAAGCCAACAGCTGATAGACTTGACAACAGAGGAAAACCTGCTGCTAACTTGCCAGCCAATTGCTGCATGACCATACTAGCAGATAGTGACTTGAGGCTGTCATCAGTTTGAATGGTATTCTTCAGTAGCCTCCACTCCTGGTTTAATGGCACCAAATCCATTTTGAAGTGGTCTGAGAGGATCTGAAAAAGATATATCCAATTTAAAAAGATAAAATATATAAATGGAATAAAAAAAATAATAAAGAGTTAAAAAACTGTTTGGTATTATACTTGGTTATATTTTATAAAAGAATTATAAACCTATTTACCTCTATTTGCTCCCTGCCATAACCATCAGCTTCTTCTGGATCTTCAGGAATACTGTTGGGATCAAATACAGAAAAGCTTTCTCACAGAGGTAAATCTGGAAACCTCTTCTCCAAATTCTCTACCACATGATCAATGTATGGAAAGTAGACCTCAAATGTATTTTGGAAATGTTTACCTTGTGAACAATTTTATAGAACATACATATTCAATATACAAATCCAAATTATTGTTTTGTCATATACATGTACTGATGAATTACCTGTCTTTCAAATTTATCAAATTCCTCCTCTGTTGGGCTCTTGACTTTGAAGTTTTCTTTGATTAAATCATCTATAACATTCCTTACTGAAGCATAATTTTCCCCATGCCTTTCTTTAAATGATTGAATGGTCTTTATAGTTCCAGTCACAAGAGGTCTTACTACTGTGTAGTCTTTTTCTCTGTTAAAAAAAATCTTGTATTTAATAACTTAATTTAGATTATTTACCTATTTGAATACTGACATTGCAGATATTATAACATTTAACTGAACTATAAATTATGTATTTGTAAAATAATGTTACCTGCAAGGTTTTTGATAGTTGTGACAGTGGTGGCAGCAAATCACACATCATATACAAAGTTGCAATGAAGTCAAACTTCTGTACAAATGTGGCCAGGCCTAGTGCTTGGGCATCACCTCTCTCCTTGGCTTCTCTCTCCAAACTTGTGATGATTGGAGGAAAACACCTCCTTATAGATTGGACAGCTTTGTCATGGGAAAGCCACCTAACATCTTTTGCCTCTGTAATTTTGATAACTGGCTCCTGGAGAATTTCCTTAAATAATGAGCATACAATAAAAATTAATACATACATTTAATGATTCTGCTTGTTACGGTGTTTAATGAACAACCACACAAACATTAATATAATATTTTAGTCATATTATGATTTTTCTAACCTGAATATGATGAAGTGCTGCCATTCTGACTGCACTGTACTGGTAGAACCTGTACAGCTGTTCCACGATCGTCTTAAATTTCCTGAGATAAGGGACGGCAGCAGCAGCTTGAGAACTTGCTAAAGCCAACATATGAGCAACACAGTGGTTTGCAATCAAGGTTGGAACAGACTCCTTCAGCAATGCTGCAACCCCTTCTTTTCTACCAAGCATGACAGATGCCCATCACTTCCTAATGCACACATCTTCTCCAATGGCACATCGATCTCTTCCGGAGTTTGGACTATAGCACTTTTGATTGTTGCTGCTTTTCCATCAAAAAGTTCAATCATTTTTACGAAATGAGTGGAACTTTTGCCATTTTTAAGAAATCTGAAACAAAAAACAAATATCAAGTATTTCAATGAAAGAAGTGGCTGAAAAAGTCATATTAGTAGTTTAGGAATTAAAAAATTCAACAAAAACTATCAGTAATTGTCTAAAATTTAAAGAATTTTTACCTCACATAGAGTAATCATTACTGCACTTGAATTTCTACTAGATTACATTTTTGTTTGCTATGGAGATTTCGTATATCGTCAAGTTATCGGAATTCCAATGGTGAATAACTGTGCACCACTTACTGCGGACCCGTTTCTGTATTGCTACCAGTTACAATTTATGACTAAAATTACTTCAGTATGTACACTAAAGAGATTTATCCTGCTGAACTGACTTTAAATAAAGCTAATACTAACAATGAACACTGCCCTTTCCTGGATCTTGATATCTATATCTTTAACGGGAAGCTCAATACCAAAGTTTACGATAAAAGAGATGATTTTTCATTTCCTATTGTTAATTATCATTTTTAGATGGTGATGTTCCCTTGTCACCATCTTATGGTGTTTATATATCTCAACTTGTTCGATTCGCTCGTGTATGTAACAACATATTTGATTTTAACGAAAGAAATCGCTGTATTACAACACTAGGGTTTTCGATATCACAAACTTGGCAAAACATTTACTAAATTTTATCATCGGTACAAGGACATTATTCGTAAATATAAATCAACATGCAGACATCTTATACGTTCAGGTATTTCACATTCAATCTTTTATGGTAATATTCTAAACAAAGCACAAAAATGTCGTCATTCACCTCAAAAGCTTGCCAAACCTTTAAACAGACTTATTCAGAAGAGATGTAGTTACGATACTGTTGTAAGGTCATTGAAAATGGCATTTTTTGGAATTAATATTGATTCACTCGTAGGGTCTTTGCATCGAAAATAAACACATTTATTCTAAAACCATGATGTTGGCATGATACGGGTTATATTCTTCTCATATATTTGATGAAAAACGCAATAAATTGGTAAAAATCGTCATTTAAGGGCCAAAACTTCAACGGTGTCGTCAGACGATTTCAGCAGTGTTGTTTTAATTACAGATCTTGTCTTGCTGATTATTTTGCTATTTAAATAAAATTGAGAATGGAAATGGGGAATGTGTCAAAGAGACAACAACCCGACCATAGAGCAGACAACAGCCGAAGGCCACCAATGGGTCTTCAATGCAGCGAGAAACTCCAGCACCCGGAGGCGTCCTTCAGCTGGCCCCTAAACAAATATGTATACTAGTTCAGTGATAATGGACGTCATACTAAACTCCAAATTATACACAAGAAACTAAAATTAAAAATGATACAAGACTAGCAAAGGCCAGAGGCTCCTGACTTGGGACAGGCTCAAAAAAGCGGCGGGGTTAAACATGTTTTTTGAGATCTCAACCCTCCCCCTATACCTCTAGCCAATGTAGAAAAAACAAACGTACAACAGTACGCACAGTAAAACTCAGTTTAAGAGAAGTCCGAGTCCGATGTCAGAATAGGAAACAAAAGAAAATAAACAAAATGACAATAATACATAAATAACAACAGACTACTAGCAGTTACTGACATGCCAGCTCCGGACCTCAATTAAACTGATTGAAAGATTATGTCTTCATCATATGAATATCAGGCACAATCCCTCCTGTTAGGGGTTTAGTATTATACCATCATAAAATATATGAGAAGAACATAACCCGTGTGATGCCAACAACTGGTTTTAGAATAAATATGTTTAATTCCGATGCAAGGTTCTTTCTATATATTATAGTTTTTACGATATTAGGCAAAAATGCCAAAAATTGGTATAAACATCGTCATTTCAGGGCAATAACTCCTATAAAAAGTCGTCTGACAGTTTTGATGTAAATAGACAATAGGTAGATCTCAACATCTTAAACATTTCTGTACCTGTCAGATTTTCTCTTTCTATTGCGGTTTTCAAGATAATAGACAAAACTTGCATTTTACTCCTATGTTCTATTTTTAGGCATGGCGGCCATGTTGGTTTGCAAACTAGATACTCCAATGATGATTGTGGTTAAGCAAGTTTGGTTAAATTTGGCCCAGTAGTTTCAGGGAAGAAGATTTCTGTAAAAGTTAACTGACGACGATGACGACGACGGACAAAATTAATGATAAACCATCTAACGTGTAAGGTAAAATACTTCCAATTTTCATTATAAATTCAATGCTTTTTTATCGTCTTATCGAGGTCGAGGAGATTATTGAAGTATAATGTTGGCGTCCACGTCCGCGTCTACGTTCGGTGCGCCTGTACGACTGCAGTCGGTTGTAAGATACATTATCATATTATTAGATGTACAGATATATATAAAAAGATATGTGGGATATATATAGTAATGGGACAACAACTAAAAAACAAAATTACACCTAAAAAGAGACTTTACGATTACGATACAAATAGTTATTTGTACTATAAAAAACACTAATTGTTCATTGATTTTACAAATATATAGTGAGTAATACTTTTATATAAAATACAGGAAATGTCCACTGACTCCTGGTTTCATATCAAAGTTTTATTTTCACTGATTCCTAAAATATATTATTTCTATGTTCTTTTCTCTGAATTAAAGGAAACCAAATGTGAAATTGTGTGAACCCAGAATACTTCCAGTGTCATGTGATAGGTTACTGTAGGCAGATTTCTAAAATATATGGTTTTATGTACTTTTCCAAGAAAAGAAGTGTCGAAGTTAAAAATATCTACTTCCGGTTTAATCAAGATCACATGCGGTTGACCAACTTCAAATGCATATGTCACCCAACCCTTTGCAACAGACCCCATGATTTCATGATTACTTTGATAATCAATAAACCATAAATTCAAATATATCTGGTGCAATAACCCCTATACGAAATCATTGGATTATTCAGCTCAAAGTGCAAAATCTTCACCTCAACAATTCAAACATTTAACACTAGTTTTGACTATCTTTCACTCTTTCTGAGAGGATGCCCTCGTAAGCGATGGCCAATTTAGAGCAAAATCTAAATCATTACCTTAACTTTGACATTGACCTCAATGTCATGACCCAAGCCGAAGCATTTCAAATCAAAAGACCTTATGAATTATACCAACATAGAGATTAGTAAGATAGTGAATGGTATATAACTCCTATGAGATGTTAACGGGTTGCTCCATTCATATTGATATATGGTTTATGAGGATAAAATGAACAATTTCAAAAAATATTAGTTTTGTAGATATCTTTTCTGGTTGCGAAGGTACACAAGAAAAACGGAGTACCGGGAGACAACTCTTACTGTATACGAAACACTTGTTCGGCGAACAATATTATAAGCCTGTTAACTTAAATAAATTTTACAACTACTGGATCGCTTCAACTTTGCTGTTGGACGTAACCACCCCGAGGTTATTAAAAGCTCAGTAATCAACACTCCAGTGCTGAGGAGAGATATTGAAGATACAGTTATTTTTTGTACATTTTTTGTTCATAGGATGTTCAAATGATTCAAAACACTAATCCTTTTGTTTTACTAGTATCAGGCATGGGAATTCAGATTTAGAGCAACTTTTTGTATTTTTGGTTTTCACTGCATCTTAACTTTGTAAAAAAATCGCCTTTCAACTGCTTTGTTTCTATCGCTCATTCAATGTACACGAAACAATTATAAACATGATTTCTTTGTTGAATTTTCCCTCATTTCAAAGTTACAATATGGATTTCGACATGATGAAAATGAATACATTCCAATTCATATTGCAGAATTCCTAGGTGCATTATAAATGTGCGTCATAAGATCCATAATAAACGCAATAAAAATGATAATGCCAAAGAAATCTGACAAGATACTGTGTTTGTCCAACAATCTAGATCTAAATTCAAAACAAATCAAATATTTATGTGTAGACTCATCAAGTTGGGCGTAAATAACATCTGAGTAAGGTTCTATTGGTTTATTATAGTAATCTCAAATAAACACCCTGTAACATATAAAACACACAATAAGACACAATACATACGTTCAAAGAACGATAACTCTAATACACCTTATCGCTATTTGTCCGCCATTACTGGACATCACACAAGTTCCCGTAAAATTTTGACGTCATAATAGAAAATATCTGACGCCACAATGGAAAAGTGATTGTTGTATGACGTCAAAAGTTCGAGCGGGACTGATTCTCGGGTCAAGCGGGATTAGCGATAAGGTGTATTATAATCTCCATATTAATAAAATAAAATATAAATTATCCAAGTAGTTAACTTCAGTTCGATATATACCATATTTAATAAAGTATGTTTTACTACAAATCATAAGCATCTATACCAAAGTCTATTTTCGGTAACTGTTCAATATGCAATTCTACAGATATCAATAACACCTTGTGTCAACGATCATTATCTAAAGTAATCAATTCTGATACACTATTCTATTCGGAAATATTCGTAAACTAAACAATAACACATTACAAACACAGACAAGACACACATTAATTAAAACACATAAATACAAATAGACAACACGTAAATAAATAAACATGTAAACACAGAACACAGCTTACCGTGTATATAATACAAGGGCTGAGCAGTGCTCCTCTATAAAGTTACTGTATACTCTTATACTTCACATACTGGAATCTGAATATAAAGAAATATGACTTCATAAGTCTTAATGTCAAAACTAGTAAATAATATAGTTAAACTCAATGCAAGACAATATTCTATGCTGAAATCTAATAACAGCCAAATATGAAAAATAATATAATAACTGTAATATTCTTTTTGTCTTGCAAATACCAACTTAAAGTAAAAATATGAACTCTTTCATACTCATGGAAATCAAAGTGGACTTTCATACACATTTTCATAACACATTCATATCTTTTATACCAAGATAAAAATACAGAAATACATGCATCAAATACTAATGTAAAGAATATAACTGACCTGAATATAAAGAATGGTTTCCAGAATAAGAAGAATAAATATCTATAAATCACAATAAAGTGTCAGTGTTCTATATCTCTGTGTAGAATTTGAAAAGAGTGCCTCAATATCAAAGGAGTTCACAGAGTAACCAATCAGAATAAAGAAATAGAATACCCAGGATGTAAATACCCAAGTGAATAGAAAATCAAAGTACTGTCATACTGTATACTCTGTCAGAGTCAGTCAACAAGTCAATGCATGAACAAATATATACAAATACTATTTATTAACATAAATGATAAAATCAAGCTGTACTACATATACAGTGTCAATGAAAGCCCTTTTTATGGCGTGACGAGAAATAATGTTTAAATAGGGAAAATAAGGGTCTCAAGGATGATTATTCAATAGATGTAAAGATAAGACAGCATACACCGAAAGCACGATTACATTTTTTCTAAGGCCTCCACACAGCAGATACTATCAGATCAGTTATTTTTCGAGATAGAATTTTTTAAACGAGTAGAAAAAAATCGTCAAGAACATGTCAAAGATGGGTCTTTCAATATATGAATACATGAACAAAGATAGAACATTTCGACAATAAATCGCCACCTAGTTGGTTAGAAAGAGCACAATGCGAGAGAGAAATATATCCACGACAATAAGTTGGTGTACATCATTCCTGTGACCTAATATCGCGTCTCTCGTTAGTTGAGACAAATACATATCGTCTTGATTCACAAATTGAGAGATGCATGTCGACCCACCTCTCATTTGTATTCAATGAAAGCGATGGGTCGCAAAAGTTAGCTATTCAATGTTCTGCGAATCTATCTGAATTGTAAAAGAAGAGCTCAAACTAAGGTCAATTACACCAAAGGTTTTTTAAAACTATTTCTAAATAAAAACACAAGTGTCTTTTTGAAATAAATAAATTACAAAGATCAAACAAAAGTTTACCGCTAAACTTACTCAAAAAGATCGGGAAAATTGGGCAACAGTTGGAACATGAAACAGCAGTAAAGACAAAATTTGTTTATTATGAATATTGAAAATTCCAAGAACGCTTATATCCGATTGTTAATTGCAAAAGGCTTTTTTTTTAATCTTTCGCTTGAAAAAACACGAATTAAAAGACAGAAAATTATCCCGTCACATTGCTTACCGTGAAAGTAGATTACTAGCACAATACGGAGTTTACGTAATTATCAAATGTGTTTCGTCCATCTATATTTCCTTTTTAATGTTAATCATCCAGTCTCCCAGTGGCTAACCTACATAGCAACAAAAATATGGTAAATTCTTCGTTTTGTATCAAATTCTTGATAGTTATGATTAAAAGTTCTGCACGGAGTCTAGAATTGTAGTATTTAATAGTTTAAAGAAAGTAAAGGGTAAACATCAATTCGAAATCAACCTAGCAACACCAAAAAATAAAAGACAGCTAATGGTCAGTCTATGGTCTTCAACAATATACAGTTGTCTGTATTATAATATGTAAAGCTCTACATCGTACGGAGTCTACAAAAGAGAGGCGAAAGCAACTCAAGGAATATTTTTAAAAACTCATAAGTCGAAAACAAACTGACGATGACATGGCAATAAACGACAAACGACAAAAAGACAAACAACCGTATACAAAACACAGCATAGAAAACTAAAGACTGAGCAACGCGAACCCCACTAAAAACCGGGGGTGGTCTGAAGTTCTCCAGACGGGTAAGCAGATCCTGCTCCACATTTGGCACCCGTCGTGTTGCTTTTGTAAGTACAAATCCGGTGATAAGTCTAAAATTGTAGTGAGTACATTAATAACCAAAGACTATCAAACATCTGACATTATTGTAAACAGAGTCTTGGGTGCTCGGAGTGCCAAAAGAGTAATACATGCATTTTAAGCCGGTGACGCAATAAAAACGCCTTGGTAAACAATTTTGTTATTGAAAATACAGAATAATTGAATTTCTGCCAACATTTGCATTGAATAATATTCGATTTAAACTTAAAATAAACCGAATACTCTTTAACAATGACTAAATTCGACCTCGACACAGATATTTATCATCAACATTATTTTCTGAAAATCTTATTTGCCTTAAAGTCATACAAAATTTCACTAATATTTCACGGAAATGAAAGTTTAGCATTAATAAATAGTTTTACGTGGTCCTAATAAACAACTGCCAATAAAAACATGATAATTTATTTATGGCAGCATGGTATGTGATGTCAGGATGTTAATGTAATGCATATTAGGATATCAAATTTTACTGTCTGCAGTTTCTTTATACATTTTATATTATATTGGTAAAGGTGTAATGATTGTCATTTACTTTCTGTCATATGTTTAAAGGTTTTTTTCAATAACTGTTAGTTAGTAGTATATATATAAATCTGGTGATCGACATTTTTGGATATTAGCTTTTCTGATAATTGTATAATGATTTATTATTACAAAGCAAAACAAAAACAAAACAAAACGTAACTAAATAAAACAGAAGTAGAACTATCAGTGAACTCACTAAAGGATGCCACCGACCTGAAAATTTGATTGTGTGCAAATTTTCCTGTAGTGTTCTACAACTGTATAATATTTCATCAAAATCCACCAAGCCGTTCAGATATACATTATATACAAGTACTGAAAGCTCGATGATCTACTCTTTATCGTGTAGGACTGGGATTACATTCTCAGCTGGAGTTCTACAATAACATAAACGGTGCTAATTTTTCTGCACCAGATGCGCATTTCGACAATCAATGTCTCTTCAGTGATGCTCGAGGTAAAAAAATTTGAAAATCCAAAGCTTATTAAAAAGATGAAGAGCTATAAGCCAAAAAGGACAAAAAAGTATAGCCAAAGCCAGGCAGGGAATCAGAGCTTTGCATGAGGGAGATACATTCCTTAATTTTAAATAATTTCAAACATTTTGTCACAGGAAATTTCAATAACACTAAATCCGTATTTTCATGCCAGTACCGAAGTACTGGCTACTGGGCTGGTGATATCCTCGGGGACTATCAGTCCACCAGCAGAGGCATCGACCCAGTGGTAGTAATAACATAAACGGTACCAACAAAACAAAAACAAATATACGCGTGCTTCATTAATATCCACTGTACACTGGAGTTTACAGCAACAAAGTACAATAAAATATTTAAAATATATCTATTATTGCTATTGTATTTCACATGACTTGTTTAGTATTAAATTGGTTTATTTGGCATACAGGGAACAACGAAGAATGCTCACACTATTCAAGGTTTACAACCACCATGATAAGGAATGTGTTGACCCGGTATACGGAATTTGTCGGGTGTCTCACCTCACGAGAGGCATGCTATATTGTTCATAGACCTTTAGACACCAGAGTTATCTGTGTGTTGGGTGTCTCTCCTCACGAGAGGCGTGCTATCTTGGTCATAGACCTTTAGACATCAGAATTATCTGTGTGTCGGGTGTCTCACCTCACGAGAGGCATGCTATATTGGTCATAGACCTTTAGACACCAGAGTTATCTGTAGATTTACTGATTATGTCCTATTCCTTATCGTACCAGTTCTGTCTGAGACTGGATTCACATGACAAGTGATTCATACAAAGTAGGAGCGGCTTTTGGCCTCGACCATCACCCAAGAGACATGCATTAATTGTCGAAATTCACATCTGGTCCAGTAGCCAGAAAAATACGGATTTTATTCAAAACTAATCAATACACTTCAAAAGTATTTATATGAGCCGTCATTATAGCAGTCTAAAAAAGCATAACCTGTGCAATAATGTGGTTGTATGAAGATAGATCGAAAAGTATGCTTGCTGTAAAGTGAATCGCAGAGTACAGGCTAGAATCAGTCTTACCCAACCATCTGTAGCTCCTTATAGTTTGCAACTGATTGACAGGTGGATAGCTCTAAAGTAATAACAAATTAACAATAAACACAGTAGGTATAGGTCCTGTAATAAAGGCCTTCCGGGATGAACGTCGGAGAAATTTAGAATGCCACTGAAAAATATAGGGTATATTGGATAGGGACAGAAATTTTGCCTTGCAACAGGCCATCTTCAGACCCCTCAAAGATTTGTTGCAAGGATTCTTAACGTGCAGAGAACGTGGTATTCTCTCTACACGAGGCATTGCGTACTTGTACATCCCGCACAGCTAAACGGACGCCCCACTTCAGCAAGGGCTTTACAGTCGGTCGGAAGAAGACCTAAGTGACCATATCTCTATTCCCCAGTCACCCTTGGGGGCAAATGATGAATGGACGGTGCATTACAATATTTACAAATAAAAAAAGTAATCTGGTCTACCATTTTAACCAATCAGTTAAAATATGTCTATTTGCTCTTTTAATTCCAAAATGCAGATTACCATAAAACCCACTTTTGGAATTCAGAATGAAGACATGTAACTAGAATTCTTTGTCCAAAGGGAGACAACCAGAATTAATTTTACCTCCAAGTCATCTTTTTTCAAGGACGTGGTTTTGCACTTTAATTGCATGACCCAGTTCAATACAATCATACCGGGAAAAAAATATTTCCTGCATTTATCAGAAGAAATCCCATTCTCTATTTCTAAATGAATAAGTAATTCATGTATATACTATTTTCAGTAATATATTGCACACATTCTTATTTGACTTTAAGTCATATAAAACGAGTTTCTTGTAATTATAATGCTATAAAAATTATTCAACCAATTCATGCGTATATACTATACTAAGTCCTGTATTCACGTTTTTTACATTTATTACGAATCTATAACGTATCATCGACAAATAATATTTCATTCGGTAATTGCTGATTGCAAGCTAGTTAGCTTTCGAG